ATTATCAGGTTGCCCCAATAAGTCCATTAAAACGCTCCAATTAATTCAGAACGCTGCAGCACGAGTACTGACAGGAACTAGAAAAAGAGATCACATCTCTCCTGTACTAGCTTCTCTGCATTGGCTCCCTATAAAATGTAGAATTGAATTTAAAATCCTCCTCCTCACCTATAAAGCTCTTCATGGTCAGGCCCCTTCATATCTTAAAGAGCTCATAGTACCCTATTACCCCACTAGAACACTACGTTCTCTGAATGCTGGGCTACTTGTGGTTCCTATAGTCTCTAAAAGTAGAACAGGAGCCAGAGCCTTCAGTTACCAAGCTCCTCTCCTGTGGAACCAGCTTCCAGTTGTGGTTCGGGAGGCAGACACCCTCACCACATTCAAGAGTAGGCTTAAGACATTCCTCTTTGATAAAGCTTATAGTTAGGGCTGGATCAGGTGAGTCCTGAACTATCCCTACATAGAAACACATAGAAATCAGTCCACAGGCAGCAGAGTTCAGTGTTCACTCTCTGACTCACACTGATTATACAGAGACATTAAACATATGGAAGCTTTAAATCATTTGTTTTCCCTTGAAGTCAATTCTCCATTTTAAAGCACATTTTAAATAAACTCTAAAGTAAATCTTCTTATTTATCAACTTTTAGTCCCAAGAAATCCCAATAAGCTCCACATCTCTCAAATTCAGCCATTTCTAATTCAAATGAAACTTAACTCTTTATTCCTTGGTTTTAATCTTAAGGAGATATTTCTGTTTTTAATATAATAATAATAATAATAATAATAATAATAATAATAATAATAATAATAAAACCTCCTGCAGTCAGATTTTTGTTCTCTGCGCCTTTAATTCTCCAGCTGACCTCCCCTTTAACATACTGAGCTTTTTCTATTTAATCCCCAATTGGGGGGAGAGAGAGAGAGAGAGACTGACACAGATGAGGAGAGAGAGGTAGAGAGACAGTGGCAGATAACAGGAGAGAGAGAGAGAGAGAGAGAGAGAGCGAGAGAGAGAGTCAGATTAGTGAACTGAAGCTGAAAAAAGAAGCAGAATTTGTCTCCTCGGATTTCTCCGGATGATTTATTTCCTTTCTTGCACTTTTCCCCGTCTGTTGGATGTAATAAATCGATAATCGATCAGCGGCTTCAGACATCAAAGGAGCGTGTTCGTCCTGATCGATCGGCTGCAATGTGCATTAGTAGTTTGTGAAAGAGAAGAAGGGAAAGTGATCGATTAGAGATGATGATCTGGAGCTGAGAGCAGCAGCGAGATGTACGAGGACAGAAACAAAAGTAAGATTTTATCTGCAAAAGTTTTTATTTTACAGCTGAGACTCAATCATAAACATCTGGAGTCAATCAATCAATCAATCAATTCATCTGTTTCCATTTCTGATTCAGTACTCAATTCAGGGAAATATTTATTGTAACAAGTAACTTTGATAAATAAAATGAAAATATAATAACTGATTTCAAATGTGTTGACAGAATTTATCTGAAGATCAAATTCTTTATTTAAATGTTCAGTTGAATTTACTTAAATGATTAATTACCTGTAAAACAGTCATATTATTATTTTATTGTTGTTATAATTATTGTGAACCATCAGAAATGTCTGATAATGAAATCAGAGACATATTTTTATATTAATAATCTCACATTGTCTTTATCTCAATATTTCATGTTGTATAATCCAAAAGTAATTGAAAGTAATCAAATTACTTAAGCATTGTGATATTTGTATCAGTTCAGTCACTTTATTCTGTCAACCTAAACAACAACTACACTGATACAGTCATTATTCAAAGAAACACCATTTATACAGTAAATATTAGACATACAGTAAATATACACACAGTAAATATTAGACATACAGTAAATATTAGACATACAGTAAATATACACACAGTAAATATACAAACAGTAAATATACATACAGTAAATATTAGACATACAGTAAATATACACACAGTAAATATACAAACAGTAAATATACATACAGTAAATATTAGACATACAGTAAATATTAGACACAGTAAATATTAGACATACAGTAAATATTAGACACACAGTAAATATTAGACATACAGTAAATATACATAAAGTAAATATTAGACATACAGTAAATATACACACAGTAAATATTACACATACAACAATATTAAAATGTCTTTTTAAGTTTTTAAAATCACATTCTCAGTTATATTTAACAATGTATGACAATGTACAAAAATCTATTTATTTTTATTTTTATATAAAATCCAATCATTGTGTCTTCCTGTAAAACTAAATGTGACGTGTGCTTACGTCAGCATGATCTAACTGATTTCAACCAATAATATCCTGACATTCACCCGTCAATCAAGCTGCAACTTTTAGTGACACAGAGCTCACTGATTACTGTACGAACACAACTTTATTTACACTGTACAAACACACAACTTTATTAACACTGTACAAACACAACTTTATAAACACTGTACAAACACACAACTTTATTAACACTGTACAAACACAACTTTATTAACACTGTACAAACACAACTTTATTATCACTGTACAAACACACAACTTCTTTCCTTCTGAAATATTTTTATTTGAAGGATTTGAGAGTGTTGAATATGTAAATGTGTTCAGTGTTTTATATGTTTTTACCTTTCAATATAGTTTTGACTTCCCAGATTTATCTTTAGACCCTGCAGGGGGTCCCAACCTCAGGTTGGGAACCACTCATTTAGATAGATGACTGACAGAAATGATGGACTGCACAGTCAAAATAAGAGCCTGGATGTTTTGTCTCACTGAGCAGGGACACACCTGTGTGTCTGTGTGACCTTTGACCTCAGTGAGTTTAACAGAGGTCACAACCTCCAACATTTAGATAGGGACTCGGTTTAATCCTCCCAATCCTGACAGAGGATCAGACTTCCTGCTCTCTGAATTAAGATGGCCCCCGCGGACCTTCTGATAACGTTGTCATGGAAATGAGCATTAACATACGTGACATCATCGGTTACCGTGGCAGCAGAGTTAATCCGCCCCTTTGTCCCCTCCATGAAACGATGAGCCTTATTTTAATTTTATCTAAACCTCAAAGAAACCTTTAAAGAGGATGTCCTTTATTCCCAACAGTCACGTTGTGAATTTGTCAGATTTAAGATGTCTGACTGTCCACAAATGCACCAACAGGGAGAAAATTAGGACAAACTGATAAGAAATCTTTGACAGAAAACCTCCTAAACAATGATTGAAAATCTCCAACCATCGGTAATGTCAGAAATAAACTTAAATAAACTTCTTTTACACAGTTTATTCTTTTAATGTCGACAGCAGTGCGTTTAAATAAATTATGAAATTTGGTGTACCACAAGGCTCAATGCTGGGTCCTCTAATCTTCTGATTTATATATATCTAAAACAAAGACTCCTGAACATTGATTATGTTTGATTAGTTTATGTTTTATATAAATTAAGGAGGGTTTGGAAAATAGGCTGCCTCCAAAGTCTGAGAAACCTTTTTGTTTTTCATCTTTTGTGAATCATATATACGAGAAAAGTGACAAAAAACATTGTTTTGATGGATTATTTTTTCTGAAAGTGAAACTGAAACAAAATAAGAAGAAACGCCTGAAAACAAAAACTACTGCACATATAAAAACTAAATAATAATGAATGACAACTGTAGCTACTGCCATCTTGTGGTGCTTGTATGTTACTACACAATACAGTCACAGTGACAGTGACTGACAAGACAATAATTTTATATGAATGATCCAGAACAATAAAGTGCCGAAAATAACATGATTATATGATTGAATTTATTAAACTGAGGAGATGGAAATGTACCATATAAATGAATCTATAATCCGTTAAGACTGAAGATAAACTTTATTTTATAACCTGCAAATGACAATTCAGCCAGATCAGCCTGGATGATGACGTTAACCACTCGTGTTGTGGGGCGGCCTGATAACATTATTCAGCGTGGCTGGGTTGCTGCTGGCTGGCTAACCTTATCCCTAGCAAAATACTATCTGGAGTCCGCTAACATCTACAAAAAACCCACACCGACCACAGAGTCCAAAAGTCAAAGCTAACATTACTGCTACAATACATGACAACATATAGAAGATTGAAATAAGACATGGGAATCATTTATTGTTGGCTGAAATCAAGGAACATTTACTCAGATATATATATTGTAATTTGTTAGCGAGCAGGCGAGCTAACGTTAGCCAACCGGCTGCAACTCAGCCTCACTGTGAACTGAGCAGAGGAAGAAGAAGAAAAACTGCCCCAATGTTCACTAAATGAACTGATGACCTTCCAGCTGGACCAGGCTGGAGGGCAGCGTGACACACACATCATCATCATCATCATCATCAACACACACACACACACACAGGAAGCTAACAAGGCGGATGCAGGGTTGTGTGCGAGTGATGCCCCACTACACCACCATTACACACACACGCGCTGTTGTCGTGGCGATGTGAGTCGACTCGGGGTAATTCGGAGATAATTAGTCGGTTCTTGTGGTCCTGCGGGTGAAGCAGCTCCTCCACAGGAAGAAACAACGTGACCCTCAGTCATGTGACCTGCGCCGTCCAAACCTCAGCTGCTCATTGGATGGCTGACAAACCTGCTGGGACGCCGCCAGCTCTGAGTTCACTGGAAGACTTTAAAGGACCATTCTGCTAAATCCTGTTTCCTTTATTTCTTAGTACAGCCTCAGTAATCAATACTCCCATTATTAAAGCATTAATCCAACTAATACCGTCAGTATCCATACAGATACAGTGTATACTGATCAATATCATCCATACAGATACAGTGTATACTGATCAATATCATCCATACAGATACAGTGTATACTGATCAATATCATCCATACAGATACAGTGTATACTGATCAATATGATCAATAAAGTTACAGTGTATTCTGGATGTATACCATAGTAACTACCCGGTAATGTAAAGTTAGCTAGCATTTTGCTAACATTAGCTTTTATGATTAACTGTCATTATTTGGAGGTACTTATAAAGACTAGCAGAATCCTTTTTTGTCCGTCACATTGTTGTAAATGGACTTACTGATTACTCTATCAGTAGTCTATTACTCTACTGTCTACATGCATATATAAAAAAAAACAACAGCTGGACACAACAGCAAGGCATTCTGGGAAACAGGAAATCTAGGAAATCACTAAACAAAGAGAGAGAGAGATCATGTAATCACACTGTGCTGTCATCACTGAGTTTGTCTGTGTGTGGTGTGTTCAGGGTCCTCAGGTACTAACACATAAATCACGGCCCAGATCACAAACACACACACACACACACACACAGATCTAGGTCACAGCTGTTCACTACAATATTTCTGTTTCCACTTCCTCTGGAAACTGTCATCTCTCTCCTCCTCTTCCTCTTTGACCTTGATGACAAACAGAAGCAAAAGTCCTTAAAGCTTCCAGATGTTTAATGCATCCCTACATAGAGACACATAGAGACACATAGAGACACATAGTTGTGTTATGACAAGATGGCGCCACGTACAGCCGCCTCAGTGTGTTGGTGCACTTTGTTTTTTCTTGTTTTGTTTGTTAATTCAGTTTTCGGCTGTGATACCCAGAACTCTTTCACTAGAGAAGAGCTCATGAACATCAGGGGAACAACTCCAGCTGATCTCTTTCCCACTTTTCTTCTTTCTTCCATGGAATTATTGGACATTGTGGTCAAAGGTGCGCTCACCTTTGCTCACGCAGTGAAACGCAGGAGGAAAGGGAAACGTGCCAGTGCGCTTGTGCGTCTCCGCCAGCGTGGACATCACACACCATTACCTGGAATATTCCTCTCCAATGTGCGTTCAATGTGCAACAAAATGGACGAACTTCAGCTACTTCTGGGGAAAAACAGTGACTTTTCTTCATCCTCTGTTTTATGCTTCACGGAGACGTGGCTGTGTGGATCGGTACCGGACTCTGCGCTGCAGCTGGCAGGCTTTCAACTCCTCAGAGCGGATCGTAACACGGAACTCTCCGGCAAAACAAAGGGTGGAGGTATCTGTTTTTATACCAACAGTAGCTGGTGCAATGATGTGACAGTGATCCAACAGCACTGCTCTTCTACTCTGGAATCTTTCATCATAAACTGCAAACCTTTTTACTCCCCCCATGAGTTCGTTTCATTCATTCTGGTCGGTGTTTACATTCCACCGCAGGCCAACGTGCAGGACGCACAGCGCAAGCTCGCCGACCAGATACTGTGTGTGGAGCAGACTAACCCGGACTCTTTAGTTATTGTCCTTGGTGACTTTAACAAAGGAAACCTCAGTCACGGACTTCCAAAATATAAACTGTTTATTAAATGCCCGACCAGAGAGAAGAACACACTCGATCACTGTTACACTACAGTCAGCGGAGCTTATCACGCCGTCCCCCGCGCCGCACTGGGCCTCTCCGACCACGTCATGGTCCACCTGATTCCCTCATACAGGCAGAAATTAAAGCTCTGCAAACCTGTTGTGAGGACATCAAAGCAGTGGACCAGTGAAGCTGTGGAGGATCTCCAGGCGTGCTTGGACTCTACTGACTAGGATGTGTTCAGGACTGCTACTAACAGTCTGGATGAGTACACAGAGGCAGTGACATCATATATCAGCTTCTGTGAGGACTGCTGTGTACCATCACGCACCAGGGTGAGTTACACCAACCACAAACCCTGGTTCACAGCCAAACTCATTCAACTACGGTTGCAGAAGGAGCAAGCGTTCAGGAGTGGGGACAGGGACAAGTTTAAGGAGTCTAAGTACAAGTTTAGCAAGGCAGTGAGGGAAGCTAAACATCGGTACTCTGAGAAACTTCAACACCAGTTCTCAGCCAATGACTCTGGTTCTGTCTGGAAGGGGCTCAGACAGATAACTAACTACAAGCCCAAAACCCCTCACTCCGTTAATGTTCTGCGCCTGGCAAACGAGCTGAATGAGTTCTACTGCCGCTTCGACAGACAAAGGAGCAGTCCTGACACCATCCCCCGTGACACCCCTCACCAGCCCCACCTCACCAGTCCCTCCCCCCCCAGCCCAGCAGGAGCTGGGGCCACTTCACAGCTTCACACCTCTGTGAATCCCTCCTCCTCCATCACAGTGACGACTCTCTGCCTCCAAGAGAGGGACGTCAACAGACTCTTCAAGAGGCAGAACCCCCGCAAAGCAGCCGGACCAGATTCTGTCTCTCCATCCACCCTGAAGCACTGTGCTGACCAGCTGTCTCCAGTGTTCACTGACATCTTCAACACCTCTTTGGAGATATGTCATGTGCCAGCCTGCTTCAAAGCATCCACCATCATCCCTGTCCCCAAGAAAGCAAGGACCACAGGACTAAACGACTACAGACCTGTTGCCCTCACCTCTGTGGTCATGAAGTCTTTTGAGTGTCTTGTGCTCTCCCATCTGAAAGCCATAACGGACCCTCTCCTGGACCCCCTGCAGTTTGCCT